AAAAAAAAAAAAGCGAACTAGACATTGCTCTCCGAAGAGCTGTTGCCCCTAGCTCTCAGAACGGATATCGCCCCTGAGGTCTCCCGCCATTAGATCTCAGAAAGTTTTCGCTTCCTCCACCCCCACCCAACCCAACAAACCCACAGAAGGGCTGTCGCCCCAAGTCCTGTTGTGCTTAGCCCTCAGAAGGGAAACAAACGAAAAAGAAAAGAAAAAAACACATTATAGAAAGAGTTATCAGTACTCTCGTTCTTGGCATGGGAGCAATTAAGGAGAACAAATAAAATTATTATGAGTAATTGTAAATTAAAATTAATCAAACAAAAAAATATGGAACAAGTTAGATGCTTTCATAATGGACAGGGAATATAAACGAAAAAATTCATAATCAAGTTGTGATATCTGCCAGTGTGTCTTTAGCAAGACAAGCAAGAGAAGACATAGGCAAGCGTGTCCAAGTCCGGGGCCGGATTAAGTGATTCTGAAAAACTCGGAGGTCAAAATAGGAGGAACATTGGAGAAATTCTTTGGCATATCCAAGCTCTTAAAAATGAAACTAAATTAACACTACAGCATAATTATGTCGCTAAATGGCATTTCAAAAGGTCGAATAAGATAAGACCCATTTCTTGCATGAGGACTTAGAACAATTATTGCAACTTTTGAGACGGACAGATTTGTTCTTATTAATCATCAAAAGCCCTATCAGATCAATATTCATACCACCTCTGCTAGCAGTGCCAAACCTGGAGCCCCAACAAAGTGCAGTAAAGGAAAATAACTAAAATGCGAAATTGCAATGTCCTAGAAAACCGTTAAGCATAACGAGAAGAGACAAACAAAGAAAGTGGGCCTCTAATTGCGCATGAAATACATTTAGAGCCAAGATATAAGATAGTTCGGACATGTTATGAAAATACGGCCATAACAACGAGGCCCAAAAGCCTGACACTTGCACTTCGGTGGCTTTAGGGCGGGGCAAGGCCAAGGAAAATATTGATCCATGAGGTCAAAGAGAAAGTACAAAGAAACACAGCTGGCCTTCGTTGGACAATTCCAACTCCCCAAGACGGGGTCAGATACAGTAAAGTAAGTAAAGTATAGTATAACTCACAGCAAGCCGCAATCATTAATAACTAGCTGAGTACCCGTTCGATGAACGGACTCAAAAAAATCAATCATCAAGTCATTTTCCAGGAAGAGAAAAATTTGCAAATGATCAATTGAAAGAGAGATGTAGGTATCACCTGAAAGAGAAATTTATGTTTAACCTGGAAAAGAGATTTACCTTGTATTCTGAATTGGGGATTTCATCCTTTCATCCAAACTTCTTTACAGCCAAGTGAGGTCATTTGAAGGGCACAATTGTGTTTCCTAATGTTTTCTCAGAAATGTGCCAGAGGCAGAGGAAGTGTAGGAAAAGGTTCTAGATCAAGTTTTTCGTTTCGGCAACACATGCTTCTGCTTTTATTTTCATTGCATGACATGACAATGCTGGCATTGAAAATTGAGGCAACCAACGTATGTCTTCTGTTTAAAATGGCCTTTACAGTAGTGCATACAGCTGTGCCTGGGCCTAGCAGCTCCTGTTGTAGTGTTTTCAGTTTCATCATTTTCAATTTTTGCAGCATATTATCAGTTACTATCATGGCCAAAGTTTCTGTGACTCTAGTTCTAGATCTAGATCTATCTCTCGGTGTCGCTAGGCATCTACTTTCTGAATCACTGTTGGAGTCACTGTCACTTACTTTAGAGCTAGGGTTTTTAATTCCTTTTTCTTCTTTGTTTAGGGGTCAATCTGCCGTTTGGCGGCCGAAGCCTACTCTTATCGATTTTAGACCACCAAGGCATCTTTAACGTGCACAACTTGCACACGGGCCCTCTAAGATTTTTCACCTTTATCTAAGATTACTAAGAAGGCTAGGTGTAGATCTTTCCTATCAGAAAATCGAAGGTGTGACTCAAAGACACCAGTAAGAGGGGTCCAAGGAGTAGCAGTAGAAAGGCTGCAGAAAGAGTCAGGAGCCTAGAGGAGGGGGC